ATTACCACACTCCAACCTTTGTCATAACTTCTGAACATGTGATGCTAAGGCTTTCAATCCTTTCATACTTCACATGTGTATTCAATGTGAATAGCCATTTCAAAGAGTCTTAATATTTTTTACCTTTTGACCTTGACCTAGGTGTTTGACCCACCTTAAAAAAAATTAACCTTGACTGTAATTTTTGAACAGTTAGCACTTGGGATTTCTAATTTCACTTGTGTCTTCTATGTACAGAGACCTTTCTTTGGATACCAACAATATTGACCTTTTGACCTTGACCTTTGCAGTTTGACTTGCATCTGAGCAACTTCATTTATTTTTTCATAAACTGTTGCAGTGCCATTATCTACCATTTGGGGCATAAGTGTCTCATTTGTTTTCATTGTGACCATTTTTTTGGGGTGGGGGGGGGTGGGGGGGGGGGGTTCAATACCCGGATTTTTTAGCTTTTGACCTTGTTTGACCTATATTTTTTGCCATAAGCTGCTATATAAGGGCATCAATGTTTCACCAACACATCTTCTTCTTGCTAACTTTTGCTCAGACTAATTACATGTATGTCATTATAAAATCAGACAGATTTTGGAATTAATTGAAGCCATTTTGATTACAGACCCAAAAAAGAACACAACAATAAAACTGGATGGTAAGGACGTAGTTGTACCTCAGGGGGTACCTATCTCAGTACCAGAGTACGCCAACAAGAGCAGCTTTTCCCAGAGCGAGTATTTAGTTTATAAGGAGAGCCAAAACATGATGCGCTATCTAGTTATGGTGGATTTCTAGAACCCGCTGTAAAATACATACATAGTTCATCCTGGTATTCGACAGAGGAGAATGTGATATAATTGGGATTATATATACATTTAGGTGTTTGAGGCATTTTTTGACAAAATAGTGGAAATACTTCAAATGGAGAGTGTAGTACTAGTATATAAGAAAATAGAGATTTGTCTGCGTTTGATCTTACAGGTAGCATATTGTCTTATTCCGGTATCTGCTGTTTAAGTCTATGAAGAGAAATTCCTTTTTCTTAAATTTTAGTGTTGATTTTTTGTTCATGTTTAGATGTTTGATAGTTTTGTTGTTTGATAATATATGCCAATGCAATCAATTTATGTATTACTTGTATATAATTGTTGCTGCTTAAATCTAGACCCATGACAAAAATCACTCCACATCATTATGAAAATCAAAACTAAGGAAGGCAGTGTGACAGTGTACATGTATTTACTTATAGGGCACCATGAGATTTAACTGTGTATTTTAAAGAAGCATTGTCAATTTATGTCGTATTACTTGAGAAAGTCATGTGTTTGATAAATGTATATTTTATATATATCTTTTAAAGAAATAAATTCTTGGTTTAGTCTCTATTGTAAATGAAATGACTAATAGTATGTAACTTATATAGAAAACCTTATTATATAATTGCGTTTCTTTTTCAGTATAATTTCAAAAATTGTTTTGTTTTTTTCCCCCGAGGTCAGGGGATACAGCTAGTTTGACTGGATGTTAAAGGTTAATGCATTTTTTTTTTTATTTTAATCTGTTTTTTAATTTGTTTTTATATATCTACATTTTTATATTTATGTAACATTGCTGATGCAGTTGTGTTTTTTAAAAATTATTAATATTCTCTGTTAACGTGTTTGTATACACTTGAAAGAAACATTTAGTGATAATTTAATTACATATACATCTTTAATTTTATGCATTTATATTTTAATTAGTATGTTAACATATTTTTGTATATACATCATGATATACAGAATGATCACTAATAAAGTTCACCATAGTCTTAGTATTTTAGTACACATTTATGTATTTATAATTTATGTTTGTTAGAAATAAAAGTTTAACATTAAAAATAATTGATTTAGTTTGCAGTATATTCTCTATTTTGGTAGGAAGATAGGTGAGATCCATCATCCAAAGCAAATCTGGTCAATATAATGCACATACTGTAAATCACTTTTCATTCGCGAGAACTTTATTTTCGCGTAATTACGCAAGACGGAATGCTCGCGAAAATTTCATTCTCGCGTATTATAGAATTCCTTAAGATTATACAGAGCAGTGACCACAATTCGTGAAAATTTTGTCTCGCTAATAAAGAGTCAATGACTATCTCGCGAAAATAAGGTGTCGCGAAAATTAAGTGATCTACAGTAGTTACTGATGGAAATGAGATGCTGCTATAAAAACATATACATGTACATGTACCCAAAATTTTAACCTCTCCAAAAATATTAACCTGGTAATTATTTGGCTGGAAATGCAGCATCTGAAATATGAATGTTACAATGAAACAAATTAAAAGCATTGTGTAACATGCATTTCTGATCAGTGTAGGACATACATGTACATGTAGAAGTAATTGAAAAAAAAACCCATCTGCTCCAAACACTTGAACCTGGGACACTAACATTACATTTGCCCCCAATGACTGCTCTGTGAAAGACAAACTGGAAATTTTGTGATTCAAAATTGAATATCAACTTATGTGTGTATAAATAAAAAATCACAAAGAAAATATAAATATATTTTATTGCAGAAGGGAAACCTCAGTATATCAATTTCATTTTAATGTTTTATCACAAAGTATCACAAAATTTTTTCAGACAATGAGGCCTAGCTTAATCAATTCATTGTTTTCAAAAACATGTCCTTCATTTGAACAAAAAAATTTCACAAACATAAAAATATAAATAAACCAAAATCTCATAAGAATACTTCAGTATAATATCGTTTAAAAAAAAAGGAAAAAAAAATTTTCCCCCAACCTTTTCTTATATTCCCCTTATAAGAAAAGGTTGGGGAAAAACTGTGAATAGGATTATTTCAGGATACTTGTATTCTACTTAAATTTTCCAATAGCATGAACATGCATGTAATCTGTAAAAAAAAATATACCCACAAATACTTTTGGTCCCAATCTTTTTTTTTCATTTAAGGAAATAAACTCAATAGACCCTTTCACGGTAACTGTGGTACTGCTCTTCTGCAGGGCAAAATGATAAAGTTTGGTGAAATATGACGTAAAAGTAATTGTTTAATATATGTCATTTAATTATCTGTCAACAAAAAATTCGCCAAACTTTATTATTTTGCCCTACAGAAGAGCAGTACCACAGTTATTGAAGGGGCTAATTTTATACAATGATACAAACATCTCTCATCATTGTATTTAAAATATAGCTTGAGGAGAGTTTAAAATATTTACAGAATTTTAAAGTACCTTCCTCATTTGAAGGAACCAAGACACATGTATAAAAGGCAAACAAGTCATTCATGTAAGTTTGACAATGAGAAACATTTACGAGTATACATAACATCCAAAAGATATATATTTTACAATCCACTTTCTCTGTTAAATGGCTAGGGTAAGATACCGTGTACATGTAGCTCACTTGGCAGAGCACCTGACTAGAGTTAAAAGACCTGGTCTGATTACAATTTTACTTTTTTATTACTGTAACAGCTAAAATTTGTTCTGATAGCATGTGACTAGAAAAGGGAAGTAAACCATGGAAATTGTGTGGGCAATTACCTGGTATAAAAACATACAGTGACATCTGCCTAATCCAACATGCACTATTAAAGAGACGAATTTTATGTTGCAATAGACAGGGTGTAGGTTTACACAGTGTACATGTACAAAAACATGGAAAATAGTCAAATGGGAACGAAAGTTAACATTGGAATTCACAGTGTGATGAATAACAGAGGTGTTGGATTAGACAGTTTTCACAGTGACTGTATTTATATACAATACAATCCAAGTTTGAGTCTGTTTTCATTCAGTTTGTTAACTGAGAATTTTTTGCTTTGATAATCAATGAAGTACAAAACTATTTTCTAAGAGAGTGGCTCATACAGGCATATACATGATACATGTACAATCATTCAATTTGATAAATATTTTTTGTCAAGAGTACATGGATAAAAAACATTTTGACAAACATGATCATGTGAAAACATGTAATAGTTAGGTGATATATGCATGAAAATTAATGGATAAACTCCAATTTTTTTAATATAAGTAATTTAACAATCTTTACACAAATTAATTTTGCTCTTTCATAAAAAAGTAAATTGCAAAAAATATGTTTTCCTGCATGGCCAAATAAATAGAATGATTATTTTTTAGGTTTGACATTTAGGTTAAGAAATAAGAGACACACATGTATGTACAAGAGAAAGCAACTGCAAAAAAATACAAGGTATTAACTACACAGTTATAATAAATTGTTCATGGCACAAAAATATACATACATTGTAATCGACTTTCGAAAACCATTTCAGTCAAATTTCATGAATAACCTGGAATTATAAATATACTCAAGAAAATTGCACTTACATGTACATGTATATAAAACTTCCCATAAAGAATATAACACCAATATCACTATAAATTCTGTGAAACAGTTTCACGTTTAAATAACCATAAATAAATATTGACATATTTCATGATTTTTTTTTTTTCACTTATTCATTTTCTTTGTTAACTAATTTCATTCTTACTGCATATAAAAAATTACACAACTGACTGTAAATACTGTTTGTATCTTATTTATACTTATTTATAAATTTTTACACTCAAAAACTTGCAGAAACACTACTTATATCTCTGCATCTTGAATGAATTCAAAATGGTTTTCTTGGGATTGATATAATAAGCAATGTACAGTGTATATGTCTACTCAGAGACATTTTAACCCACAATTTATTGTTGCCTTTTTGCCCTTGCTGCATGTACTTGTAAGCAAATTTTAGAAGGGGGCGAATTCAAGAAAATCACATTATCTCTAAAGCAAAACCTTGTCTGGGTGAATTTAAAGCAGGACAAAATAGTTTCCAAGTGTTAAAGGGTGGAAATAACACTGGGCGAAAATAGCACTTTATGCAATACACAATCAAACACATGGCATTTATTTAACCTTTGCAAATACCAAAACTAGGATGATTAAAACTGAACAATTAAATTATCTAAAAGAAAAAAAAATCTGACAAATTAATATTAAACAAAATCATCATTTTTTTTTTACAGATGTACATTTGAAGGGTAAGGAAAACACATATATGTAGAAAATGGATATTATGCTATCAACCTGAGCTAATATACAAATATACATGCATGAATAGTCCATTGAACAGATGCTTTAAGACTTCTGTGTAATTTTCCGGCATACATGTATAATGTACATCAATTATTTCCAAAAAAATAATAATAATGTTGTATTCTGAAGTATACCTCATAAAATATAAACAATATTGCACATATATGGAAAAGAAGAAAAGCTGTTCAGTTTTCCATGGCTTCAAAGTCACAGGTCCATGATCGAGGAATGAGATAATCCAAAAAGTTATTCTGAAAGAAAAAATTGCACAATGTATAAAATTTAAGATATTTTTAAAAACTCTCCCAAAATTGTTAGCAATCTTAACTCTAAAGCTCTCACTCAAATTTGTTATACATGTATTTGGAGAGGACTGATAAAATTTACTGCATTTTCTGGAAACCTCTGAAAGGATTGATAAAATTTAACAAATTTTCTGGACACCTCTGAGAGAATTAATAAAATCATCTGAATTTTTTCTGGACACCCCTATGAGGATTGATAAAAGAACGAGTGCACTTATGGGCCCCGGTAAAATGTGAAAAAAAATGAAGTTTCAAATTAAGCACAATTTTTTATCTCACATCATTAATTGATATTTAAACCATAAGAATTAACAACTTTTAGCTTTGAAATCCATGAATATTAAAAGCATGAAGCTTTACAATGTAGTAGGGGTCATCCGACATTCGTGAATTTCTATAGTAAAAAGAGGACAGGTATTTTTTTCAAAGCCTTCGTTTACTGTGAGCCTAATCGTGTGCAAACTTGCGGAAAAGACAGTAGACGCATTATACGTTTAGAAAACTTCTGTGAAAATATGAAATTTGCACACGATTAGGCTGGTACTTAAAAAAGGAAAAATGTTCGAAAATTTCAATGTTTTTCCTATTGCAAGCGAGAGCTATTTTTGGCGTGACCCATATTGAACTCACCTGTTGAATACATTATTTAAATAGTCACGTGGGTTTTATCCAGGTAAACATTTGCCAAATGTGCTCACTGTAAATCACTGACACGTTTAAATCGTTCTCCATCGACGTTGTGTGGTCTATTTTTTGGTGTTTATTGGATTTAGTTTTGTAGAATTCTATCATATTTTAATAGTCATCTTGTCATTTTTGGTCCAGGTTGTATATTTTGTAGAAAATTACCATTTAAACTTTCATATATTTCTTTGTGTGTTTATCATAATTGACAAAGGTAAGTCAGTAAAGTAAGGGGAAATAATTATTATTATATTGAACTTCTATATAATTTTTTACGGGGAAAAACCATGCCAAAACATTGCTGTTGCGTTGTTTGTGAAAAACAGGTACCCGTTAAGCGGCGTAGGCTCTTGAAGGGTGGGAAAAATGGAACATTAAGGGGCAATCTCTCTGCACTGCTTGGGCGACGGGTGGGCGAAAATGACTGTTTATGTGGTAAGTGCTATACTCGGAATTATAGGGGTCAGTTGGATAAAAGTTCCATATCGGAGAATTCTGGGGACAAAGTTAATGCTACAGCATTCTATCTCGGAACGAAATCTAACCGCTATTGTGCTATATGTGGGATGAAAAGGAAACAACGATGCAGAATATCTCAAGAATGCCGCACCGATTTCTTTTTAAAGCACAACATCTTATTATATAACAATGCACGTTCCTGTCCTTCTCATTTGTCGGGTAACTCCATAAAAAAATCAGAATTCCAAAAGTACTCTTTTAGACTGAAACGCAGATCGTTCCCGATGTCAAACAATGATCTTTTACATCAGTTGTCAAAATGTAGAGAATTACTACTGAAGAAAGAGTGTTTACGAATTGACTTTGATAACCCCGATTTCCTAAACGATGAAGATTACATTAGTCTCACCGGCATTTCAAAAGATCAGTTCAATACTATTTGTTCTATGGTTGAGAAAAACTCGAGAAATAGAAAACATTCAAATAGAACTGCAATAGGCATTTTGTTAACAAAATTGAGAACAGGTCTTTCGAGCAGTATGTTGAAAACCTTATTTAATATAAGTTGCTGCAAGTATGTATGTCGCATAGTGAAACGCGAAAGAGAAGCATTAATGCAATGTTTCGTGCCAAAAATACGTCGGTTTTGATCACTTGTCCAGAGATGAAGTAATTTCAAATCACACATCTACATTTGCACGTGAATTATTGGCAGGTGGAAGTAAAAATATTGCCATTCTTTTAATAGATGGTACATATGTTTATATGCAAAAAAGTTCCAAGTACTCTTTCCAGAGAAAATCATTTAGTATCTATAAGGGTCGTCCATTAGTTAAGCCTATGATGATTGTAGCTTCAGATGGCTATATTTTGGACATTTTAGGTCCATACCTAGCTGATGGGAAAAATAACGACGCCGCAATTTTGAACCGGCATTTGCGTCAAGGTGAAGGGTTGTTAAAATGGGCAGAGCAAAAAGATATTTTAGTTTTAGATCGTGGGTTTAGGGACTCCTTGGATATAATTGAAACAGTTGGGTTAAAATCAGAAAGTCCTTTTTTCTTACAGAAGGGAAGTAAACAGCATTCAACAAAGGAAGCCAATTTGTCTCGATTGGTTACCAAAATAAGGTGGGCGGTTGAGTCTGCGAATGGTAGACTGAAGACGTGGAAATTTTTAGCAAACGTAGTTCCCAATACCCAAGTTCCCTTTATTGGCGACTACATGTACGTTCGCATTGTTGCGTCCCTTATTAATGCTTTTAGGCCACCAATAGCTAAAAATTCCCCTACAGATTCTGTCGTGGCAAAGAGAATGTTGGAAAAATCAAAAATTGAAGAAAATCCATTAAAAACTTTATTCATTAAAGATAATGGGAGAAGAACTGCTGTCAAAATGTGCAAAATTGATGCTGTTGAGGCAATGCAAGATTTCCCTGTGTTAACCGAAGAGTATCTACGTTCGTTAACGTTTGGCGTATATCAGTTAAAGCAGGCCCTTTCATACTCCTCTGAACATGTAAGTGATGATGGTGGATACGATATATTTATTGGAAAAAATAATCCAAATATTTTGCAAGCAAAGATCCAGTCTAGGCATGTCTCCTCCAAGTCTTACTATCTCTGGATACAGTACAATTCCGCAGATACAGAGGATCCAATAAAATACTGGTATTGCCAGTGCAGATCGGGTGCGCGTTTGGTTGGATGTTGTGCGCATGTTGCCTCTGTATTGTGGTATATTGGAATTAAAACACATGAATCACCTCTGACAAACAAAATTATCCCTAATAATGTCATTGACTGTGGGGATTCAATCGACTAAGATGGCAGAGGATAGTTTAGGGTTAAATAGAGAGGATAGATCCGGATTAATTATCGGTCAAAATTAGAAAAAAAAAATAAGGCTTCAACGTATATTAGGTAATTGGATAGCTAGAATATTTTTGGTGGCCTTGTATAATTTATTGAAATGCATCTATAAGAATGGTATTTTAGTGTCACTATGAAACTAAATTAAAAGATCTGTCGGGCATTCTGGGAAACCACGGTCTAGCTGTCGTGTGAAAACGACTTTAGAAAGGCTGTACGATAACAATTTCGTTGTGTCATTAAAGAACACTGTCCTTTTTTGTTTGATTCTGAAGTTTGTTTATTTATTGTAAAACTTACATTTTACAATTAATTGCACAACAAAAACTAAGGTCATAAAATGCCAAGATTCTAGACACCTAGCTTCAGTGCGAGTTATACCAACTTCCTTCATAATGCCGTCAACCTCATAAAAATATCTGTTTTATCTTTTAAAAGTTTGTTGTCAAGGCATAATAAGCAATTGATACAATGCACTTTAACACTAATATAATTTTAATTTTATAAATACACTTCACAAAAAAAAATTCTAACTGTAAGACTCCAGACTCATTAAACATTAAATTCAGCAAAATAGATGAAAGAAAAAGTAATCAAGCTCACATACCCCATGCTCCCCCAGACTCAAAGTGCTGAAAATCCCGGAAAAAAAGGGAATTGGAATTTTCCCGGTTATATGCACATCTACACATTGTTTAAATACCTGCAAAGTTTGACAAAATTCTGTACAGCGGTTTTAGAGGAGTTGCACTGACAAACTGTTCATCTCTATATTCAAGGTATTGCCCAAAATCAAAGTTGAAATGTGTGGAAATTCCCGGAAAAAATAAAGGAATGGAAATTTCCTGGTAATAAGCACATCTACACATTGTGTCCTAAATATCTGCAAAGTTTGATGAAATTATGTAGAGCGGTTTAAGAGACGTTGCGCTAAAAAAAAAACTGGACTGACGGACTGACTCATTGACTGACACTGTGACTGACTGACGGACGGACGGGTCGAGAACATTATACTTCACGCAACTTGCTGCGTGGGGTATAATTAGTTGATCACGAACCTTTCTAAATTGCCACGGCGTTAGCTCACCTATCTTATTAAAAAGATAAACTTGTTTAATTAAATACCGGTAATCAAATTCAAGATTTACACATATATTAGATATTTATTAAGTCATACATATGTAAAAATGTTTGTACTGATTACATTTCAGATATAAATGCAATTTTGCTTCTCTATTGTTAGCCACTTTTAATAAAATATTAATATCTTAAAGCTCAAAACATAACGTAATAAGGTCCTTAATTATGCAGGCGGAAAAAAAGAATTATTTTGATTATTGCAAAATTTGCACTACTTTTAATTTGACTCAGTGCTACTTAGGTACGCAGGAAAAATTCGTATAGAGTTGATAATAAATTTTGCAATTAAATGCTAGTTAAGTAAAGTCCTTTTTAAACTAAATATCCATTTCTAATATAGATTTTTTTTTATATTGTCATCGATGCAAATATCAATCTTTGCTGTATTATTTTAATTGCCTGCGTGTCAAAATTCTATTTAATCATTATAATTACATTCCGCAACCTAGTTTCATCCGAATTCATTTTTGTATGTTAAATAACGCAAAAAAAGTGATATTTTGCAACTGCGCCCATTAATCCACCACTAGAACTGGTCAAATGTCGATTTAAATTTCTCCTCCCCTAATTTAAATAGACAAAATCCAAATAGGTTCGGTAGTTTTTATTCCGGATTTGGAGTATTTATAGGCATTTAAAAATTGGCAATTGTTTAAAATCATTGCCATTTTTAGTAAAGTTTTACTTTTTTTTTAATTGGAAACATGCAATATTGTTTAAATATTATCAAAAAAGAATGATTAATTGAAATATTCCATGTTAAAACGGCACTGAAAAAGGGCCCATTTACTATTGCTTAAGTGCACTTCTCCTTTACTGTATTTTCTGGACACCTGAGAGAATTGATAAAAGAAGAAGTCTCAATAAGCCATTATCTGTGGTCCCCGGTTACTTGTTAAATTTTAAACTTTCATTAAAAAGCTTAAAAAGTAAACTACATTGTTCTCTCATGTCTGTAGTATATGCTCCAACGTTTAAAAATTTCAAATAATTGCAAAAAAGAACACGCAAAGCTGTGTTTTGAAGGTGGGGTCCTTTGATTTTCATGAATATCAAAAGAAATTTGTGATAGGTACCCACTTCACGGCTTTCGTAAACATCGAGCGCAGCTTTGTTCAAAGTCGACATCAAAATATAATGTGTATATTATATTTATACAGATTGTGTAAAAATATCTTTGTTGAACAACATTGCGCTCTATGTCTTTTACTTAAAAGTATCATGATTTTGAATCTGTTCGGTGAGTACATTTACATAGGATTAACCTCTTGTTGACCTGCTAAGAATAGATAATATGTCACGTGATTCCATTCCGCCACAGGTGAATAACTTTGGAAAGCGTGTTTTCTGTAGGAAGCGACACATGTAGCTCGTATTTGAAAAGTGCAGACACCAGCTTTTATTTTTTTTAAATAAACAAAAGGTTCTCTATAGACTTCGATGAATATCACTTATGTTAAACTCTGACGATTTTCTGGAACATTTTTTTAATTCTCATGCACGTAATCGCAATATTCCTGTTCATTGCGAAAAGCACACGCGTAGATGTATATAAATACACATTTATTTACATAATTTACAGCAAAGTTAAGAAATATATATACATGTCAGGCAGGCAGTATTTGGGGGAGGTTTGACCCATTCTTTTCAGGGATAAATCTTGAGTTCTTCACCCCCCCCCCCCCCCCCCCCAAAAAAAAAAAAAATTTTCATACGCCTTCACGCTTGCTGTTACAATATGAATAAATACACATCAATGTTAATGTTTAATTTTTCAAATAAAAAAATTTGGTATTTTTTTTAAATCCTAATTCTACATTAATCGTTTTCAAGTTTGGAGAATGATTTCCTCGATCTTTTTCTTTTGCTTTATCAAATTCATGTTTCTTGTTTTCTTTTCTAAGCCTCCCCCTGAATGGGAGTGTATGTCTGTGTGTATTTACCGTTAATTATTATGCAACCGCTTGTGCTTTTCAAACAATCATATAAAAGAAAATTATTGTAGTGGGTAAAATATCTTGACATTTTATTCAACAATGATAGATTTAAAAAAAATTATTGTGATTAGGGGGATTTTCAAAACCCCGACAAAAATACCTCAAGAACTAAAAAAGACTCATACCCACCCCAAGTTCAGAAGAATACGAATGATGCAAAATAAAATTCAAACGTATTGAAGATTATTATTACCCATCGTACATTGTTTATTATTTCTTATCTCACGCATCGGTGTCTTCCTTTATATAATACCTAATTTAAATGTTTCCGCCCATTGGTATGTAATAGAGGAACCGTACTCTGTTCGAAAGAAAATGTTCCGGAATTTGTGTGCTCAGTAGGTGTTGGAAATCAGCTTGTATTTCTTGACATTCAAAGTTATTAATAATGATTGTACAAAATGTTAATTAGAAATACTTTGTTATACACAATGAAACTAAAAATAATACCGTATCCTCATGTATATTCTGTAAAATAAGGGCAAAAAAGGGACCATGCTGCTATACTTAAGTGGAAAACTCCTTTAACATTTTTTCTGAACCTGTCTGAGAGAATTTATAAAATTGACCATTTTTTTCTGGACTTGTCCGAAATAATTGATAAAATTGACCATTTTTTTCTGGACTTGTCTGAGAAAATTGATAAAATTGACCATTTTTTTCTGGACACCTCTGAGATTATTGGTATAAATATTTACCATATTTTCTGGACACCTCTGAGATGAATGTTAAAATTTACCGTATTTTCTGACCACCCCTGAGAGAATTGATAAATTTACCATAATTTCTGGACACCTTTGAGAGGATTTATCAAATTTACCATATTTTCTGGACACCTTTGAAAAAATTGATAAAATTTACTTTATTTTCTGTACACCTCTGTCATGAGAGGACTAATAATTTTACCGTATTTTCTGGACACCTCTGTCGCGCGTACCACTCCAGACTGTACAGACACATCAACGTTCCGTTCCCCATTATCAACATCAGCCACAGAAACACATTCCAGCCCCTACCCACTCCCTTAAAGAAGATGAACCCAACTGCAAAAAGAAAAATAATATATAATATAATGTACATACTGCTAATTCAAAATTACTGTAAATGTATTACTGTAAACCAATTTTTCATCGTGACGACTTTATTTCACAATTTTCCAGGGGAAAACTAGTTCCCGACAATTAATTTTCACAATCAAGTCTGTTTTGGATCCGCTGTTAATAGACAAAGAGACTTTAAGGACCAGTTAGCGGCAAGAAATATTTGCGATGACTAGGCTCTTGCAAACCTCACGAATATTTCTCGCCCACAAATAAAACATTTTTTAACAGAATATTAGGGTGTACAATCTTTGGCGGAAATTGATTTTGAACAAGTTAGAAAAGATTTGATTTATTGCACTTACTTATGTTTCTATTTATATCTACATGTACATGTACAAGATATTTAGCGTGGCACTTGAATTAGCAGAAGTTGCTTTCTGCGAAAAGTGCTAAAAAACACGTACAGCTCAATTTATAATGTTTATTGTATACAGTTAATCATGCTTATAATAAGGTGCCAGGGTCAGATGATTTTGTTTTGTTATAAGGGTAATATGTTATTAGAAATATTACATTCACAATATATACGAGGGTTGTCCCGTAAAATCGTGGACAAGTTGTCTAGTTTGAAAAATAATCATCACTGCGTTCTGAAATTTTCACTACTCTTTCGTACATATAATATGAATATACATAGCAAATTTCAAATAGATATATGCATAAATAAACAAACTGTGATATTTTATGTTATGTACTGTTTCGCCCTACGGCGCATGGATTATAACGTCAAGGTGTCTAAAACAGCGTCGCGTTTCATGTTGGTTAAATGTAAAGTTTGATAAGCCCCACTTAAATCTAGAAATTTTTTTGATTTTCATACGTGAGTGTTTATAACCAGTTAAGGAACTAATGTGGCACACTCATGCGATCTTCTGAAGATTTATTAGCAAGTTACGGACAGTATTCTCTCCATCATTTAACTAACAAAGAATCTCATATCGACGGTCGACAGTAACAGCGGCTTTTGCTATTACAATGGCAGTCTGTCCGTATGTTTTGTACTACTTGGGGACTCGATCAAGAAAACTTCGCTAAGAAAACTTCCATTTCATTTATATTTTAAAGATCTGGTGATATTTTTCATATTTTCTTTCTTCTGTATTCATTCAAGTCTCTTAAGGTGTCATTACAACATCCTAATCTAACGGAACTGTTCTCCAGTGCGCCGTAACGTCATCAAACGTCGCCATTTTTCGTGTATTCTGTTTACCACTTTCCCATTTCGAATGCTCGGGAAACTGCCAAAAATTAACCAAAATGCTTGAAATTTTCAAAAAGACGTCAGAATTGATTAAGGAATTTAATTTGAACAATTTTCATCCTAATCTTGTGTATTTCAAACTTTTATTACGATTTAATACTTGTATATTCTCTAATATGACCTTGTTATTTTTACCGTGCGCCGTAGGACCGTACCCTGTGCACATTCAAGCAGAATAAAATCTTCATTTTTGCATATATATTATCAAAAACATCATGATACACTTAAATATGATGAATAAACATTTACTGAAAATTTCAGCTTCGTGCGCCCATTACTTTTTGAGAAAAGCACTTTGTCCACGATTTTACGGGACAACCCTCGTATTTAGATACATGGGGAATAAAAATCCCTTCCCTGTGCGTGTAAATCAATTATAAACATGTTCGCTATAACTGTGTTTAAATGTACTGTACATTTAAACAAACTGAAAATATTAGGAGGTCAGAACAATAAAAGATTCAACAAAGAAATTTTGTACTTACACCCAGCTCCCATGAACATGACGAACAAAACAGGATAGAAGAACTTGAAGCACATGATCAGCACGTACTCGTGAGCCACAGCCGAGATCAGAAACACAAACGCCATGGCCAGGGAACGATTGTTGGGGAAAAGCTGTAAATTATAAATCCTTTTTCATTCATGAAATTAAAACCCCTTGAATGTAATTTTTACCCACACCATAAATTTTTGACCCAAGAAAATTTTAATGATACTACAGTTTATTGAGGAAGTGAAATTTTGAAATTTGGTGAGTGGAAACTGTCATACATGTATCCATGTGAGTTAACTAGCAATTAATGTATCTCTTTAAATATACATATATTTGACATGACTGAAAATACTGTTAACAAATAACAATGCATGTAAACATTTTCATCAAGGTTTCAACATTCCATTATTACAAAACCAAATGCAACTGATGACAGAAACAAGTACAAAATTGTACAAGTAAACTCAAATACCTTTTGATTTTAAATCTATAAATAGTTTTCAGTTTTTAAAGATAGGGTAAGGAAATACCTTGAATGCATCCTTGTAAATGTAAGTATACAGCCAGTCATGTACAACAATATTCCAAGTCCTGTAGTAGCTAGCAAAGGATGTGGAGTTCCACCAATCCTATCAAATTAAACAAATAAGATAAAGTAAGAATGACATTATATTACACATTTGTTGGACCCATGGTGTTGAAGAATTCTCTTCAGAGTTGCTCTTAAATCATATAAGGCTGATGGCTGCATATTAAATCTAAGTGTATTGTGCAGACATTGTTTAGCAAGACTTTAATTAAAGAGACATCATAAACAAACATTACCTTAAGTTTCAATAGTTTTGTATTTCTAAAAGCAGTACATTATATGAGAGGGCTAAAATAGGCTTTGCCTGCTGCCCAATCCCATTCACTTTGTGAATAAAATTTTGTATAAATAAATATTATAATGACATTGAACAAACCTTGTAAAACATTCTGTCTGCAAAAGTCATCATTTCTGCAAAGGCATTAAACCAGGAATGCAAGATAGCAAAGAAGCCTACAATCGAAAAGGAAAAATGACTACTATTCTGGATATCAAAACTTTTCAATGACTAACAAAATATTATTACATGTAAGTTAGAATCCAATTATGTCAAATTTTCATTGCAAAATATGCTAAAATAGTTTTTCTGTAAATTATGACCTAAATTTCTTTATTAAAAAAAAAGCATTTACATGTAAGATAATTTTTATACATGATCAGACAGATACTGTATACAGGGGAATTTTCGCCCCTGTTTTATTTTCGCCCTCTTCATGATTGTACGAATTTAAAACAGGACAAATTCAAAGAACACACATAATATCTTAAACAAGATTTTGACTGGGCGAATTTAAAATGGGGCAAAATTGTTCGCCTGTGCAAAAGGGTGAAAATAACACAGGGCAAAAATGACCCAGAATACAGTAATGAATCTTACAACATCACTCTTACCCAGAACTAAGACTAGCGTAGCAGGCAACATGGAGCCAAACACAGACAAAATCAGAGCCTTGGCTGTAATGTGCTCACGACCAAAGTTACGGAAGACAGGCACGAGAAATCTCTCAAAGATGTAGTACGTGTAGAACAAACAGGCAAGCACCTGTCCTAAATTACTGACCACGTAACTCCAGCGAATCTTCTGTGTCCTGGCGAGGAATCAATCATTTTCAATATATATATATTCAAACAGGAGACAGTCTAAGAACTGTACACGTAAACCAACTTTTAAAAGGGTGCAAGAAATATCCATGAGTTTTGTGACCTACATTAATTTGCAAATATTAATCCCAGCGATTTATTTCCCATTGTATTTGTAAAGAATGTTACATCAGTCACAAAAGTTGATGGCCGCGGATTGATTTCAAACCGATAAATCGTGGATGAAAAATGACACCAATAATAGTTGGTTTACAGTATCAATCCAAGTTCTAAGAGGAAGACAAATTGATGTTACTGTTGAACAATCTACACTGCTTTATATATATTGATGAACTATAAAAATACCTTGGATAAGAGTCTCTGTAGACAAGGGTTGGGATGAACAAGAAATACAGATACTTGGAGAAATCGGGGCAAACATGATCCTCAGAATTATCATCTGTAAAACATCGAAATTTTTTTCATAAACATAGAAAACACTCCATACAAAATATAAACATAGAAAATACTAGATACAGAATCATAGATAACTCTACATACAAAAATCTAAAGCACTGATGCAGTGAATTTTTTTTTTCCTTTCAAGCTTCTTCATCAAAATGAAACAAATAAAATCATGGTTAAAAAAGAAAATCAAGGTAAATATATTACCTTTCTTGTACGCTAATACTTTTGCGGCATTTTCTCTAACAAAAGCATGGACTTTCATCATTAATCGGATCTGAAATTAACAAATTCATTATTACGCCAACAAGAATATGCTCACATCAATCACATTTAGCTTTATTTATTGCACATCTAGAGTAGACTGATTTGTCTTGTTTGCTTTGACATGAATATTTAATAGAAAGTCTTTTTTTTCCAAATGCATTTTCAAGTGTGTACAATCAAACCTGGTTAAGCTGAACATGATGGGATCTACAGTAAAATTCTTAAAGAATAGATGGTTGAGGACTTATCACTTTGACATTCATTGATTTTTGAGATTTCAGTGTTCAAGAGACCAAAGTTCAACTGTATATATATGTTCTTAAAAAAAAAATTTTGTCATGAGAAAGTTCCTTGCCTGCTCCGCTGTGACTATGATGCTGGAACCTGGAGGTAAGGAATTGTCAGTGATGTACTTAATGGGCCACAGAAGAAATACTAGTTGATACAGAATATAGATACAGCCAGCTGCTATGTCGTACCCACCTAAATGGAAGAAAAACAAGAAATTCAAAATTCATAAAAAAGAAAGGAGCTGAATAACTCATTTCATCTATACCCTAAAATCAGCAATACAATTAAAAATATTGCAGTATTGTGATATTTCCAGCAGATACCCGGCCCGAAGTAAAACTAAATTTATCAAGTGCATGTACTTGTATACTGTAAAGTATTTTTTTAACCTACTTTTATTTGTATGCGAGAAATATACACGAGTTTTGCGACCTTCGTTAACTCGTGAATATTAAATCTGCCAAACATTTGTTTTTCTTTACATTTGCAGAAAATGTTTAATCGTCGCAAATCGATTTTCCAAAATGACGAATCAAAAATAAAATATGACACGAATAATAGTTGGTTTACAGTGTATGCACTTACCTGTTTCACAAGTCTCTGATCACATGATTTACTCTAGTGCTTTATAAATGCATTTAATGAAAGAACAGCTTTTAAATGAAACAGTTTACTGACCCACTCTGCCTGGTGTTCTGTGCATTGACCAGTAGTAGAACCCTGGGTAGACCACCAGAAAGGTTGACAGGGTCATGGTGACCCAGAGCTCCATCACTTTAGAGAATTTCCCCATCCCATACTGGATCAGGTCAAAGCTGAGATTTAACCTACAACAGATAGAAAGTGGTCTATTAAAACACAGACTGAATTTTCAATATGTTGATAACACAATGTAACACAGTTATACCCCCTTTTTTGAAACCAGTTATTTAAATTACTGATGTAACCAGGGTTATGTATTATTTAATGCCTTTAATTACTATACTAGCGCTGCGTATATGTGAGAATGTGGTGTGAAAAACTTTGTGTGAATGAGGTTGTTGTTATTTTTAGACACTAGACGGACAGTCACATGACTTTATCCTATTCACCAAATTCCCGCTTTCACGCACTAACATCGGGCACTCTGAGCCTAGCCGTTGAATTGGTTAGATGTGTACTCTACTCTATAGTCAATAACAGATAGTAATATTTGTAATTCCTGTGTGTGTCCCGGTAAGAATCTATTCTAAAGTAAAGTCTATTATGTTTTAATTATCTGTCTAAATGTCTGTCTATGTGTCGTCTATATGTTGTGTGTAATTGTAATATTTCAGGTTTTTGACGTCTTATTTCAACATTAATAAATATAATATTGAACCTGAACCAGATTGTTAGTTCTGATGTTCTACCACTGGCTACAAATGGCGCCCACGCAATTCTAATAAACCGGGACATCACACCAAAGCTTTATTTCCTTGGAATCTCAATCCCCGGGGGACGGACTTATTGAGACGAGGACCGTGGCTGAGACGAGCCGGAGCGGTTACTTCTATTTTCACGCCAGTACCTATACCATGGAAACCCATATGAAGAGGTGATTCTGTGTGTGTTTGTGCCTGTGCGTTTATATTCCGTTATTACCAAGGAACGACAGAGTGAAAAAGTGTGTCAACTTTACGACGAATTCAGTGTTTCACGAATGGCGGGAATACGCACGGATCCAAAGGCGCGGCGAACCACGTGACCCGCACGAACCGCATTGATCCGCGAGGAAACTCGGAACTAAGCAACGAGGCCTCAGGTACTGTGTAATTCAGTGATTACTTATCTGTTCTTATATGATGTGATTATCCTGTGTTGTATTTGTTGCCATTTGTAGCCAGTGGTAAAACATCAGAACTATATCAATTCCCACCCCCTCCCAGTGTACCAGCTGACATTGGTAAAGGTGACCCCTATGGTGAGGTTAAATTTAAGAGTTTCAGTGGTTTACCCCCTCAAAGCAATCCCTTTAAATTAAGTCAAGAAGGGAACACATCCCATTTTTATGAGGTAACACATTCTCAAATCCCTAGAATTCCCCAGTTTTCTGGGGATGAACCCCCACAAAAGGGTGATGTTACTTATAGAGAGTGGCGATATGAGGTTCAGTGTCTTATGAATGATCCTGAAATAAAAGAGACAGTTATTATTCAGAGTATCAGAAGATTTCTGAGGGGTACAGCTAAAACCATGCTTATTCCTCTTGGTGAAAAAGCTAGTGTACAAGAAATACTTGACAAACTAAATATTTTATTTGGTGAAGTGTCAAATAATGCTATGATCATGCAAGAGTTCTTTAATGCATATCAATTTCAGGGTGAGTGTGCAACATCTTTTGGGTGTAGATTAGAAAGCATGTTACAGAATGCAATTGACAATGGTTATTTGAATAAATCATCAAAGAATGATTTACTCCGTCATAAATTCTGGACTTCGTTGAGTTCTGATCGGTTAAAATCACAAACGCGTCATAAGTACGATACGCTTAAGAACTATGATCAGCTTTTACTTGAGATTAGAAGGGTTGAGAAAGAAATTATGATCAACAAAAAGAGTTCAGAAAAGGTGAGTCAAGGTGTTGATAAAAATCCCAGGTTACATCAACATGGTATATCAGTAGAAAGTGAAGCTGAGGAAAGAATTAACAAGAAAATTCAGAATTTACAGACAGAGTTAGAGGGTAAGATTGAGGATAAGTTTAGTCAGATTTTGATGAAACTTGATGCACCTAAAGTTGACTCTAGACAAGATTATAGTAGAGGGAGAGGTAGCTTCAGAGGAAGACAGAGTACTAACCGAGGAAGAGGTGAGTATTTTAAGGGAAATTCTCACAGTAGTGACTCCTACAGAGGAAGTCGAGGAAACCTGCAAAGAGGTCAGTATAGAGGATATGGTAAGCCCAAGGGACAGTATCATAGTTCAGGGACAGAGAAGCATGACCCAAACTTTTAGTGGTCTCTACTAGTGGCCGAGGAGAGACCAGTGTACTCGGAGGTAATGGCCAACAAATTAAATGTGACATGATTGGTGAGTCAAATGAAGTAGAAATTGTGTTACAGGGTGTGACTATGAATGCTTTATTAGACAGTGGGTCTATGATTACAACATTGTCTGATAAAGAGTACAACAATCTTATAGACAAACCAGAGTTGAAAGAGTTGTCTACCCTTGGACTGCAAATATCTGTAGCGGATGGTTCAGTTCTGCAGTACAAAGGTTACATTGAGTGTACAATCAAGTTACTCGATATTGAACTATTTGTTCCAATCGTGATAGTACCAGATACAGAGTTCAACAGACACTGTCCTGTTATTGTTGGAACAAATATTTTGAGAATCTGTAGAGATTATTACTCGCATATGTCCTGTCAGTTACCTGATGCGTGGCAATTGGCTATTGACAGTACACAGTGCAAGTCATATTGTGTCAAGACAACTAGTAAGAAAAACATAACTATAGAACCATATCAGTCGCTTGTTGTCAATGGAATAGCAAGAGGTGTAGACAGAAATATTTCTACTTTAGTGACTGAAAATTCTCATAGTAATGACAGTTATGCAGTGTGTCCGAGAGTTGTCACTTTGTCACAGAATATTGTCAAACCCAAAGTCAAAGTCAAGGTGTGCAATATTTCTGCTAAACCTATTACACTGAGACCCAATTCAATACTTTGTTCTCTACAGGAAGCAAAAGTTATTGAAAGTGTATCTACCCTAAAGGGGAATAACTCTCAGTCAGATAAGGTGAATCCTATAGAGTTGGGTGTGAAAGTAGATAGGACTTCATTATCAGAACCACAGTTTAAAACTGTGAACCAATTACTGACAAGGTATAGTCATGTTTTCTCCAGAGGTCCATTGGATCTAGGGAAGACAGACTTGGTCAAGCATAGTATCAAACTTGAAGATAAGACTCCATTTAAGTTACCTTACAGGAGAATACCTCCTGGTATGTATGATGAAGTGAGACAGCATATCAAAGAAATGCTAGAGGCAGGTGTGATAAGAGAATCCCACAGTAACTATAGTTCTAATGTTGTCTTAGTTAGAAAAACAGACGGTTCTCTTCGCTTTTGTATCGATATGCGTGTTTTGAATTCAAAGACTCGTAAAGATTGTTACATGCTACCACGCTTTGACGATGTCATTGATACACTGAGTGGTGCCAAGTACTTCAGTAAATTAGACTTGCGGTCAGGATACTGGCAGGTGGAGATAGAGGAACAGGACAAACACAAAACAGCTTTCTCAGTAGGTAACTTTGGATTTTACGAATGTAATAGAATGTGTTTTGGCTTGACAAATGCTCCAGCAACGTTTCAAAGACTTATGGAGAAATGCATGGGTGAAATTCATCTCAAAGAGTGTTTGATTTTTCTTGACGATATTTTGATTTTTTCCAAAACTTTCGAGGAACATTGTAAACGTTTAGAAAGAGTGTTTCAGAGATTAGAAGAACATGGCTTAAAACTTAAACCTTCAAAATGTGAATTTTTCAAACAGTCTGTTAAATATCTAGGTCATATTATTTCAGAGTCAGGAATTTCCACGGACCCAGAAAAAGTTGCTGCTGTTGCGGAATGGCCAACACCTACCAATGTTAAGGAGCTGAGACAGTTTTTAGGGTTCATCGGCTACTACCGGCGATTTGTGAAGAACTTTGCCAGTATCATTGCTCCACTGAACAACTTATTGAAAGGCCATGAGACCAAAACTAGTAAGAAGCAGAAGGCACTCAGTAAACCAAACTCCAAGAAGAAACCAGTACCATGGATTTGGACAGAAACGGAGGAAAAGGCTTTCCGGGACATCAAGGAAAAATTGACAACACCACCTGTCTTAGGGTATGCAGAATACAACAAGCCTTTTATACTACATACGGATGCCAGTTCCAAAGGCCTGGGAGCAATCCTGTATCAAGTGCAAGGAGGTCAAAAGAGGGTGATTGCGTACGCAAGCAGAGGACTGAGACCCAGTGAGAAGAACTACGCAGCACACAAGCTCGAGTTCTTGGCGCTTAAGTGGGCGGTATGTGATAAGCTACATGACTACCTGTACGGGAATCAGTTTGAGGTAATCACGGACAACAATCCGCTAACTTACATATTCACCAAGGCCAAGCTTGATGCAACAAGCCAGAGATGGGTAGCCAGTCTTACTAATTATAACTTCCAGATTTCATACAGAAGTGGAAACTTAAATTCAGATGCTGATGGTCTATCCAGGAAACCAGTGGTTTTTAAGGACACGGTGAAGGCTCTTTGTAATGCTGCTTCAGTACAGATACCATGTTGCCAGAGTGTTTCCAAGGAAGATGCCCCTCAAGCCGCGGATGAGGAGATTTTCCCCAGCGACACACTCAGCAGTCATGACTGGATAGAAGAACAGTCCAGAGATCAAGCCATCAACAGAGTTCTACAGATCCTGAAAAGCGATTTCCGACCCAGGGGAGGAAATATACGGAAAGAATCTCCAGATGTTCAGAGGTACATGAGAATTTTGAAGAAGCTGCAAGTGGTAGATGGAGTTCTTTGTAAAACCGCTTTCCAGGATGGTAAGAGATCTTATCAGTTAGTAGTCCCAGAGAGTTTTCGATCAGTCGCATTACAGGGAATACATGATGATGTCGGACATCCAGGAAAAGATAAAACCCTTTGGTTAGCCAGACAGAGATTTTATTGGCCAGGCATAGAGAACGACATCACTAGGAAGATAGAGACCTGTAATAGATGTATATGTAGTAAAACACCTGTGAGACCTGCAGCAGAACTTATACCGATTGTGACAACAAGACCCATGGAGTT